GCACCTCTGCTTTGTTTCCTCCTCTGGCCCTGCAGTAAGAGCTGCTCAGAGTGGTCCTGAGGTGAGGTAACCTGCAGAGGTAGTGTCAACAGGCTGCCTCCACCCATGCCAGCCTTGGGACAGGTTCTTCCCACCAAGCAAACTCCAGAAATAATCCACAAGTCCAGCGCACTGCTCACCTCAGGCACAGGCACCTTTCTACCCTTCCTGGGTTGTAGCTGTCCCTGCTTTAACACATCCCTTCAAGGAGAGCTTCTCACCATGCAGAGGCGACACGACACAGCCTGTGGGCCAGGGGACAGAGAGGTGGAAAGCCGAGAGAATCCACTGCATTGGCCAAGGGCACCACTGATTCCTGGCCCAGCCTCTACAAATGCTCCAGCGCATTGGGTCAAACAGACAGGACATGGCGCGTACTTGGGATAGAACGACAATGGCCATTACTCAGCCTGTCTAAATGAGGAGCTAATGATTAACTGGGAGGAATGACAGCCCCACAGCAGGAGAGAATTAAAGCCTGCTGCAGGAAGCAAACATTTTGAACCAAACACCACGTTTCCCCCCTCAATTTGACATGCGCTTAATGGGAGACCTCTCAGGAGGCACAGGAACAAAGTGTAGGAATAGGGACTTTCAGACCAGGTGATCAACAGCCATCTCTTGCCCCTTGTAAAGCACTGAGCCCCCCTGTGCCCCCCAGCAGCCTCAGGGGGCCAGGCCAGGAGCAGATTGAGCCCCTGAGGGGCAGGCGCCAGCCTGACTTTAGGGCATCCGGATCTGTGACTCCTGCCAGAGCTCTGGGGGAATCACAACACTCACGATCGCAAACTGTAAAATCCAGCTCAGCCAAGGTTCTTTTTAATTAGAGAAAGCACTGCCCTAAGAAAAAGCAAACGCTTGTGCAATCATTATTACCCATCTGACTTCAGCTACTGAAAGGAAACCTTGAGGAATCTGACTTAAGCTATAAATGTGCAATAAGCAGCAGTTTCAGTGTGCAGTGTTGGAGTGACCAGTGCAAGTTTAATAGTTTAGTGCAAACATAAGCCATTAATTTAAGGTGGTTATTTTTAGCAGCTGTAGAGCTAAGGGAGAAACGGTGCTTGTGGAGCCAAGAAAAACACAAACAAGGATGGTGCTAGTCTCTCTGAATCCCCTCTTGCCACTGCCACCACTACACTGACCTGCCATGCCCTCTGCCATACAGGGCTCCACCGTGGCCCCACTACACCCCAGGGGAAGTTACTACAAGTGAGTGTTTGTTTTCAGATATGCTAGTGGTGTTGAGATGACCAGGTTCCTCACAGGAGACCATTACATTACAACAATAAACAGTGTTCACTTATGTCATGCAGTTTCTCTCTCTCGGATCTTCCTTCCTTCTGTGATGTAGTAACCCCGAAGTGTCACCTCAGGGAAAATATGCCTGGGAAGATCTGGAGTTGCCCAATCCCACAGTCTGCATACGCATACACATATATGCCTGTGTATATATACACATATCCATGTAAGGCAGAGCGGAAGTCCCAAAGAAGGAAGACCAACTCTGGGTCAAACCCAAATGCAAGTCACTGCTTTTGTTTGCCTTGCATCACACCACTGGCACATGTGCACTTCTCATGGCAGGTGGTATTGCCTGTCAATTTACATTGACGTTAAAAGGGAAATCAGATCTTGGGCTAAATGTGTTACCATTTGTTTCTGAAAGCAAGCAATAGATAGAGCTTGATTTACTCTGCACCTAACCTAAAGTAAAACCTATTTTCAAGAAGTGCTTGCTGAGACCAGTATACACAGAAGAAAGAAGCAGCAGCTGGGTTTTAGCAGCAGATTTGTCACTCTGTGCCCAGGTCAGTTCCCATTAAAGTCTAAAGATGGGGATGGACATTTGTCTGGGCCCGTAGCGGCTGGCTGCAGCAGGGGATGAGCTCAGCAGCAGAGGAGGCTTCATGGAGGGGTCTGGCCACAGCATGGCCTCCCTGGCAGAGAGCAATCACTTGCAGGCACCTGATGGACAGTCAACACAGTGGGGCAGGTCAGGAGCAAGGTCCTGAACAAGACCAGTCATACAGCTTTGCTAGGGGAAGGAAAGCCTTCCCTTTCTGTCCTGATACATATCCCCCCCTGTGTCAGTTTAGTTTGTAATTTTAAGAGGTAAAAATGCTGTGGGAGAGCTCCCTCAGATGAGTCTGTAGCTAGGAAGCTTTCACAGGAAGAGATAAAAAAAGAGCAATCAAATGAAAAATAAATTGTATGTGTAAAGTCAAACTCTGCCCAACAGAACATGAGCCAGGGGCATTTGGCAAATAAAAGGAAAACAAATATATAATTTTTCCCTAACATAAAAAGAAAACCCCCAACAACCCAGCAGAGCTCTGGCTGGAGCATGGGAGCAGAACAAGAGGGGTGGAAACAGGGACCATGCTGGGGGAGAAGTGAGTCCCCACGACCCGGCGACTCCCCAGGTCCCTGCAGCAGGGGCAGCTGCTCCCACACCAAGGTGCGACTCGCCCATCGGCAGCGTCCGGTGCCCCCACACGCTGTTTCTGCAGCAAGGTGACCCTTAGGGCAAGCCAGACCCTCGCCACGTGGGGCTGAGCGAGGCCTGGGGGCCAGGGGCTGTGCCATTCACCAGGCCGACACGGTGGATCAGCAGGTCACAGATTTCTTGCCTCGACGGACGTGGCCGCTCCTCTGGGCACCGGCGGTAAGTCCTCGGGATCAGTCGTCTGCCTGTGCCACCTCCGAGACGCCTGGCCCCGAGGCCTCGCAGTCCCTCGGAGTAAAGCCGTCCCCTCACCCCTGACAGGGCAGCTTTCACCCAGCACGGGGAGGGAAGGGAGTGTCCCGGGGAGCGCACCCAGCAGCGGCCCCCCGCCCTTTGGAAACAAGCACTTTTTGAAGCCACCTTTGGGTTTGGTCACAACATCCCAGCCTGGCAAAATGTGTGGCTCAGGTCCGCAGGCTCCCACAAGCCCCGCAGGACGGGACCAGCCGAAAGGAGCCCGTCACTGCAGAGGCCCTCCTGCATACCCCGAGCCCAGTGGCCTCTGGGGAGCACTCCCAGCCACCCCCCACCCCTGTTCAAGCCCTCTGCCACCCCTCACAGACAACATCACAGCTCCTGCCCTGCACCATGCCTTCACCTTTCCCTGCCTACAACCACTCCCACTTCACGATGCCCTCCCACCCTCTGATAAATGGCCAAGCCCCTGCCGCACTCCCACCTTGCTGCCAGCAGCCCCCAGACCAAGGCCCGGTGCTGGCACAGACAGGGCCTTTGGGACTGAAATCTCTCAGGACCCTCTCAGCATTTTGTGCATGTGAAGGGATGCTAGTGGTGTGGCAGATCCCTTAGTGCCTTCTGGGATTTTTTTTAGGTTTAATTTATCTCTGGAGGCCAAATAGGCCTTGGCAAGAAAGCAGTCTCACACCATCCCACGCAGAGGACAACTGAGCAATCAGAGAAGCCAGTTGTCAAAGAGAAAGGGCTTCTAAAACGTCACTCTCGTCAGAGCTGCCATTTTACCACAAACAGTTACACCATATTTTGACCTGAAAGGAGTCTGTCAAGTCTTACATAAAAAAATTCAGCCATCTGGCCCCTTCTTCACGCTCTTGCATTGGCGCGGCGCGTGCCAGCAGCACACAGCCATGGCTTTTCTCCTACAGTCATCCACCAGCCGCCACGCAGCAGCAGAGAGCAAGGGACTGCTGCGGTGGCGCAGCCCAGAGACACGACCATCCACAGGCTTTACCAGTAAAAGGTCTTCCCACACGTCACAGCGAGACTCCTACCCTACTGCGAAACCTCCAGTGCCCATGACATCTGCAGGAGACTCACCCTGTCTGAAACTGGTCCTGCCCATCTTAATGGAGTTGCCTGTGCTGGGCCTCCGGGCAGGCAGCGGGTCTGGAAGGAGGGAAGGCAGGATGCAAGTTCGAATACAAGACTTACAGGTAAGTTAAGACTGCTCTAACAACTCACACCGAGGGGAGAGGTAAAAGGGGAATGATCAGCTGGGGTGAGGGAGCTTAAAAAGACACCAAACAAAAATGTAATTCTTAAGAGCTGTCAGTGAAACTCTAAAAATGCCCTGCTAAAGTCTGTGAAATCTGCTGTCTGCATTTGTATCTATAATATCTTAGGATGATTCTCACACATTGAGTTCCAAAAAACTGTTAATAAATAATGAATATGAGCTGAATATAAACACCATTTAACTTATTAAATTTTTTAGCATATACTTCCAAAGCCTGCATTACCCAGCGTATGCTTAATTTGATAAGAACATTCAACACTTTGCTTTGGCATTTAATACATTCTTATGTGATGTTACAACATATTTCTATCATCACACACAGATGACAAATACACATCTGAAAATGTTTTCCTTCTGGAGAAATAAAATACCTACAAAAAAAAAGCTGCACAACTTTAAAGTAAAAATAAAAGTAATTAAAAACAACAACTACTGAATTGTAAACCACTAGTGTAAAAATGCACGTTATTTATGATGACATGACCCACAGGAACACGTGGGTCCAAAGTTGTAAGGTCAAGCTCATACATGTCTTTATTCCCTACACTCCAGGATCTGGCTTTCCTACAGACTCGCTTGAAAATGCTGCAATCCATGTGCTTAAATTTGAACAGCCACACTGCCAAACAGCTCAGGAACCTGCACTCCTGGGTTTTCAGAGGTTATATAGCTGGCAGCTAGAGCAAATAGTGGAAGGTTGGCTTCTTAATTAATTTCTTATTCTTAAGTATGTCTTTCTCATATGTTTAACATGAAAAAAAAAAAAAAGCACATAGAAGAGCCCCAAACCCTGTTTTCTCAGAGAATTCTCTACCTTCAAAATTCAAAAGATGGAAACAAGTCACAGCTGGGTTTATCAACATGCCCTCTTCTGGCCTTTAAAAAACACAAGTCAGCTTGCTGTCACCTGGTTTCTTTGCTTGGAAGAGGCATCAAAATGAGCATGTTTGTGCAAATAGTCCATTTAATAAACTGGCCAGAATAATACCACCACAGACCGTTCGTTCTTGACACTATACAAACCACGTTTACAAATCCTTCAGTTATGTATGAATTTATAAAAATAACTTACACCACTATTCTAGAAATCTCAGTAGAAATACATGAATTTGTTACCAAGTAGAAATTTAGGCATAAGGCATTCTGCCCAGGGGGCTGGAGAATTTACCCCCTGTTCACACCGCACTATTAAAACTCTTGAGAACCACTGAACAGAAGTAATCCAAACCTTTCTGCAAAAACAGAGGGAAATGAAAAACCAGATCAAAAAGCACATTCATTTCCATTACAAAGAGGCATTTTTACCATTTCTTGATAAATATGTATGCAGTTTATCCACACAGGAGGAATATTCAAGAATTTGTTATTTTCCATGGAAACTTCTGTTTTAAAAGTATTGTTTCCTTAATTAAATATAAAACAAAGCACACATGGAACTAAATACAGCTTTTAGGCCATATCTACATAGAAGATTTTTCACTATTGGTTTTTGGAGGTTGGGTGGGAGTTTTGTTTGCTTGTTTGTTTTGAGGGGGGTGTTGTTTGGTCAGGTTTTTGCATTCTATAGGCTCACTAATCTGAGGGCAAGTCTCAATACTGCTGCGTTCAAAGTGGCCAGTTTAGACCTGAAATGGTGCAGCATACAACAGCTCACCTGGAAAGGAAGAATTTATTCAAATTTAATAAAGTTGCACAGACCTCTTAGAACTATAATTCATTCCACATTGGAATTCTGTCAGTTGCAAATTGGATTAATTATAATCACATAAGCTGCAAGATAAAGCTAAGATCACACCTGTGTTACATGTACAGTTGTTAATATCAGGGGGACACCCCCCCCCCCCCCCCCCCCCCCTTCCTGTATAACAAGGCCTTAATAAAAAGTACTTTCCTTTCTCACCAAGGAGAATGTTTTCAAAAACAAGTTTCTCTAAAATAAAATGTCACAATGGAGTCTGTTTGGAAGCCAGGAAATAAGTTATTCTAGATGGTACTAAACTTTTTTCCAAGGGCATTTTCTTTCTCATGATCAAGCATGTAGATACAATTTCCCCTCCACAGGCATGTGAGCTGGTAAAACACCTGCTCCTGAGGAGACCTTGCAATTGCTGTGGTATAACCTAATACACAGGGGCGCTAAACAATTATCTGAACTTGTGGTTATTTTGAGTTTGGAAGTTCTTTGTTCAGGTAAGAAACTAAAGAGGAATAAATCCAAACCAAAACAGTTGTTGTCCAGCTGTGCTAGCAGTTCTTCCATCACTGCCCACCAGACAATGCAGGCTTCAGGCTATGACATCATGAAAGCATTTGTTCAATGCCCTGCTAAGCAACAGCTCGATAGTCAATAGTCCCATTGCGTTGCTAATTGCCAGTCAATCACTGCAAGTGACCAACTCCCACAGTCCTCTCCTCCTTCGAATAAGGGAACTCCCTTAAGATCCACAGATGGATTGGATGTTTCTGCAGATGACTGAGAATGACTCATCCCAAAACCTTTCTTCTGAATTGCACAAGTCAGCCGCTGCGATGAAAGTCAGTCTCTGGCAATAACAAGAATGGGGGTCTTTAACCTCAGCATCCAGGTTGAAGGGTGCTTTCACCAGAACGCTTAGTCACAGACAGAGTGGTGAATATCTAAGAGAAAGAAAAACAACTTTTAGTATGGCTAGAATGAATCTTCTCTTCAAGAAGGTCAACATGAGCATAATGCTCAAAACCACAGCCATTTCTTAAAGTAATAAAATAATAATGAGAAACATATATTTAGAATCCTTGCCACTAAATGGCACACACGCATACAAATACCCTTTGTTGTCTTCATTTACCTTCCTTTTATGGTCTTCCTTTTACAGTAGAAAAGAAAGAATTAAGGAAGTTGCATGGCTTTATACCACCTTTTGTTTTAATGCTCATAAGTTTTTACAGTGGAAATGAGCTCAGCAATAATAAACTCCAGTCTGTAAACCTGATGAGTAAATGTCTTTATGGCTCAAAGAGAAATTCTTCGTTGAGAAAGTGAAGTTATCCCAAGGCTACTGCATTTGGAGAGAACATAAATTTTGCCTCTGTACTTTTCTAGATAATATAGAAATGTGGAACTGATTGCTGATTTAGGTATTATGCCTGGGATCTGCATCCTCGGGAACATAGCTAATAAATCCAGTTTGAAAAAGTCCAATCTTTACTGCTTTCAAGTTACATTAAAGAAAACAACATATTCAAGAATAATTATTGTAAAATTAAAAGGTATCAAAATTCAAGAAGAAAATTTCTACAAAAACTTGTTTAATATTAGAACTTTACTATGCAAATAATATAGAAAGGAAAAAAGGAAATCAAACCCACTTCTTATATGAATGGTTCAAAGTTGCAATAATTAGCTATCATCAAAGCCATCTCTCAGGAAGAATAAACTTAGCACAGAATAAAGTACATACACATTTCAGTTATGCAAATAGCACTGAAGTATCTAAAGATAATGGGGATCTGAAAGCCCTACAGTTCTCTAAGTAGAAGCTTTGCTGCATTAAGGCTGCTAGCAGCTCTTCAGAGAACAACATCAATAAATAATATACCTCTCCCACTTTTTATAAGCATGTAAAGCATTATGCACAAATCAGGAAGACAAATGCACGTCCAATATACATAGTGGAAGAACAGCAATATGCTTAAGCTATAGCACATGGCTTGAGATGGGGTTTCTAGCTCTTCAGTTCTGATCCACAGACAGACAGACAGCATATAGGGAATCCTCATTTATTATTATTTCACTTTGAAAGACAAAGATTAAAAAGTGCAAAATTGATCTGCTTTCTTCTTGGCCTGACTGCAAGTTCTGTGTGTGCTAGCCAGTTCCAACGGCTGCAGGGAACGCACAGTTCCAGTAAGCCAGGTGGGAGCCATTTGATGATTATTGGAAACATGAGTTTTTTGACAGAATTTGTCAGTTATTCAAGTGAAGGCATAAGCTTAGGTCCAGTGGTTGGAAAGCCACCATTAGCTAACTCAAGGAATCAACCCAGATTTCAGAAGACACTTTCTCTTCATCACAGATGCTCAATTACACACGCCTGTATTTCAAGCGATGCAGCACAGTCTAGGCTGAGAGGTAACTCTCTGTAAGGCTGAGGTCCTACCAACTCAGTGCTTGCAGTTATTTGTGCTTTGCTTTGAAAGAAACTCCATTCAGAACTCATGGTTTCTGCAGAATAAAATGCTGCTCAAATAAGAGAAGTGAAATCTGGTTCTAATTTGTAAGCAGTGAGAAATGAGACCCACAGCCTTATGGTCGTCTTCAAGTTGAATAATACCATGTTTCATGGGATACTGAGCAATTAATTAGTACTAATGCCAGTGAAGATGTCAGCATTTGACCCTGTGACACTGCCCCTTTCCTGATTAGATCAGACTTCATTTTCCCCAGCTTTTACATGGATGTAAGACAAAAATAAGATCATTATTATCCCTCATTCTATTCATCCAGATATGCGCATTCCTCACAAAATCCAAACAATTTTTAAGCATTTTTTAAATCAGAGTACCATCTTGCACTTTGGTTTTTGTTTACTGCTTAAGAGATTAAATTAAGTAACAGGCATAAAAAAACCTTTTGAAGACTGGCACTAAAAATGATCACTGTTCCCTGGAGCTTTTAAATAGTGTATTTCTCCTGAGCCAATTTCTTCCTCCCCCGCTCAAACAAATATGATTATCTGAAATTACCTCCCTAAATTATGTCTAATCATCATTCTATTCAGTTTCAATTTTAGCAGCTCAGATGTCCAGAATAAATTATGACTATCATCCTCTCTTCACACTGCATATGCTAATAACCCACTTGAGTTCACAGGTTTGAATGCCTCCCTCAGAGTTCCCCCTCCACAGGGCCCCATGTAAGATAAGGATCTGCTACCCCTCTTCAGGGGCTTCTAAGGACACCATTAGGTGATACAAGGGAAAAAAAAAATCAGAATCTGTATTGTGGATGCTTTGAAGATGACTCAGATTGCTAGCAGTCCATTCCATTAATGGAGTTCATATTATATAGCTTATACAGTATGCCTTTAGAAACACAAAACAAGAGAAGCAGACTTCACTTCTGCAGACCAGCATCCTAGTGCACTCTTGTAGCTAACAGAAGCAGGTAAAAACAGATATTCTCTACAAACACCTACAAAGGTCACAAGCAGTTTGCAGGGATCCTCAGCTAATATAAACTGGTCCTAATGCTACTAAAATCTGATTTATCCCTGGGAGGAGCTGTCCCCCACCTGCTAGAGAAAATTAAGCTCTTCATTAACAAGGAACAGCAAGACAAACACCAGAAGAAATGTTTGTGTGGCCTCATGTATTTCGCTTCAAAAGCGAAGGCCTGCAGAGTAAAAGGAGAGATCTTTAAAAGGGAAGAATAAAAGAATTGTCACGTAGCTGGTCCCCTTCCATGGCACCAGTTTATAAGCCTTTTTTGAGTACACATAACTAAAAAAAATTAGCTTTGACAACCACTTTAGCAGAAATAGTATTTGAAGCCTTCATAAATAGATCTTTGAGTGGGAGGAAAATTCTATACTTCCCAGCAGAAAGAGCAGTGGATTAGGAGAGACCATAAACATTTCACAAATGAACACACTAAAAAAAAAACCCAACAAAAACAAAAAACCCACATCCGAGATTAAACCTAAATGTTAGATTTCTGAATATTAAAAAGAGATCACTTCCCGTCCTTCCCTCCCTACTACCTTCTCCCAAATTCAGACCTCTTTAATAGAGTTCTGCTGTTCAGATTTCCAACACCTTTCCCCAGAATGCTACAAAAGCGATGGTGACATCATATACAAACCTCTGCACAGACGGGATGAATTCCTATGGTGCTGTCCAGCTGTTCTTTTGTCATCCCACATTTAATAGCGGCCGCAAACCCTTGGGTGACTTCCCCAGCATTTGGACCAAGGACATGGAAACCAATGACTCTCTCCTAAATACCAAAGATAAATCAAATGCAAGCACAGTCATGCATTCAGTTCTCTTTAGACAACACATAAGGTTTTCTTTCTCAGAGTATATAATTTAATCAACTCACAAAACATACCACTAATTAATGTAACCACACAAATGTGAACTATCATTAGCACCAACAGATGCTCGTCAGTATAATATAGTCGGAATAATTTTGTTCTCTCTCTGAAAAAGGAAAGATTCAACTAAGAACTCAAGAATCACCTTCCTTATAAAGTTTTGCACAAGAGTCCTCTGTTTACATCAACAGAATACAAATTTAATGCACGCTGTGGTCTATGCTTGATTACTATGTCTGTCCAAATTGCAAACACGTGTTTAAATTTTGTTGAGGTAAGCTTGCCTAAGTAAAGATGCATAGAGGTTTGCAGCACCAGGGCCTATGCTAGGTGGTTACATGGTGTGTATTTATTGAAGAACTTCCAGTTTGATAGTTGCTTACAGGAAAGGGCCCCAAGCTTAAAAGTTCTGGCTACCCAGATGTGGCAAGAAGTGTATTATAACTAAACTGACAACTAGTCTAGTTGAAGGTGTTCACTGTTACTGGGAGATAATATACCTAGAGACTGGCAAAACAAACTGAAGGACATTCAGTTACAAGGAAGATACTATTAGTTCACACTTTTCCTATCTGTACTACTGTTCAATCACAAAATACGTCTAACTGCACATATATCCTTAGCAAATTCAGCAGAACAAGTTGTACTGACTTGACCTGCTTCTCTTACAGAAAAGCTTGTTTCTCTAAGAAGAGCAAGTCTCCTTTAGCAAATGCCAACTGCTGTGGGCTTTAGTGGCTTTCAGGGCTGCATTAATCAAATTTTGCTGAGCACAGAAGTAGCCGGGTTGGGTATCAAAAGTTACCTGCTCCTCCTGCTAAATATCACATATAGGTGAGTGTGGATACACAGCACACCGAAAGATTTTTCTTTCAGTAAGCCCAAGGACTGAGATTTACCACAGGATTTATTTAAATAAGAAAAGCTATAATTAGGTAATAACTAGAATGGAATTACCCTTATTTTCCTTTAAAAATATGGACATATGTAAAAATATAACCATAGTAATGAAATCAAGGTTAACTACAGTTTTAAATAGTTACTGAACTATTTTTCATCCAGAGTAACTTTCAACTCTAGCTCTAGATGTTTAAACATGTTCCAAATTTTCAGGCCAAGAAATGGAAACAAATTAAGGAAACACTTTAAATCACCATTAAGCTTTTTAATTTTCTTAAGTAACTTTGGAGTAGGAACATAACCATGGGTTCTAAAATACCTTCCATACTAGTGGAAACTCCTCTAGAAAGACGAGGTGGACAAAACCAAATTTTACAAAATGGTGATGTGATGCTTAGAAAGACTGCAGGAAGATAAAACTGTAGCTAATGATAAAAAAGGTAGAATAGAACAAAATTTTTTTTAGGACTGATAACTCTATGCTGCTATCTTAACAGGAATACATTTGAACAACATATATTCTTCATAATGGTTTATATTATTAAAATAAATTAAATTTTTATTAAATAGACAATGATCATTCAGAGAGGGGCATACCAATCTTTTTAACCAATTAGTGACTTTGCTTGTGCTTCAGCAGGTACTGTATATTTCTATTGCCAGGAAATTTTACCCTAGTCCAAGGATAATCCTGGCATTATCACCCTAAATGAGATTTGTGCAGGCAAGACACATTAATCCTGTTAGAACGAGCTCAAGAGTTTTATAGACACAGGTGGATTTGCAGAGGTTACAAGCTGTGATGGTTTCTGAGTGACCTCAATTTTAGAGAGAAGAATCTCACAGAAAAGAACGTTCCAGTTTGGGGAGAGGAGAACAAGATAAACTGGTAATACTTTTAACCATTTTTACACGCACTGATTCACTCACTTTTCAAAGTTAACAAGCAGTCTTAGAGATCTCTACTTCTTACTTTACATACATGGGAGAAGTACCATATACCAATACAACATCAGAATTTTCTATTTTACTAAGGGTCATTTTTGTATAAACAAAATATTGTATCACTATAAATATTTATTACATTTCAAAAGGTAGAAAAATTTAAATTAATTTTAATTTGCTGCTGTTTTCCCCGGAAGGAAAGATGCACTTACATTATCTTGAATATTGCAAATTATCTTCGCATAGCATTTGTTATTGTCTCTGGATGGCACAGTCCATTCTAGTGGCCAGAAATGGCTATGGTACACCTGCAAATGCAACACAGGTTAGAAAAAATAGTTGTATAATTTCCTATCAGAGAGCACGATCTTCCAAAACCTGCCATATTATCTTAAATAATAAGCCATGCATGTAACATTTGGAATATTTGAAATCAGGGTGAGACTCTTTCCCCTTGATGAATGCCCAAGAAGGAAGCCTTTAAAAAACAAGCACTAGTGTCATCCAGTAATTAAAATTAAAAAAAAAAGCAGCTGTAAGTATGTTACACTTCCAGGATGCAGTTCACCATGCTCTCATTAAACTAGACAATTAAAAGCTTCCCTCACAGAAGGCTGGATTGTCTCTGGGTCTACCTAGAAGAGAGGCCAAAATATTTCTCAGAGAAGAAAAAGGGTAGAAATAGCCTCAGAACCTAGGTTTAGGAGAAATGACATTATGTATCACTGCAAGAATGGAACATACATTAAAAAACCAATACATATTCCTGTCTGTCCCAACCAGCATCACTGTACAGATTCCTATTGGCCGATAAGGCTGCTACCCCACCTGTATAGCACGTATCTCAGAAGATGATGGGGTGTTTTGAGGCAGAGTTCTACCCAGAATTCCTGACAGCTCCCAGTATAAACCAATCTCAGACTGATTACTATTTGAAATAAATTTGTAATTGATCACAACTCCAGTAAAAGTATGTTCTTTCACAAACTAGGAAAGACAGCTCAATGTTTTTCCACATTAATGGGGTTAACGAAGCATTCATCATCATCGCTATCTGAAACTGAAATTTGACAGGTCTGAATAATCTTACTGAAGCTTGCAAAAGCAAAAGCCAATATGGTGACATAATAAAGAGGTCAGAATAAGCTAAACGGGGACTTAGCCAGAACACAAATGCTTCTGGATGCACATTTAAAAAAATGGCTTTGAAAATCAGAAGTGCATTTTCCACAAAGAAAGGTCCAGTCTTTCACATGTAACAGCAAGAATTTGACTCAGTAACAAAAATTTGACTGTGAATATACAAACTTTGTGGGCAGAAAAGAATTTAAGTCTTTGCCCTGTAGTCAGGTTAAAAGTACTTGACACACTGCCATTTTGAGTCATATTTTCTTCTTTTCTACACAGTCCAATTCAAAAAATGCAATTGACAAAGCTAAGAGGGAGACAAGTTCAACTTAATGAACCACGATTTATCTGCTTAGTTCCCCAAGTAATGTTACTCAGGTGATCTTCACAGGACGCTTATTGTCAGACTCCCTCCCCCATGCTTTCTGTAATGTGGCCAGTACAGTATTTTGTAAGAACAGCCTCAGGCATTAAGTGCTTACATATGTCTAATTTCACTCTTGACCAGCAATCTGAGTGAATGAAAAGAGATTACTCACGTGAGTAAAATTAAGCACATACCTCCTTGGGTAGTCAAAATAAACAGGAAAAATGAGTATAACATTTGGCTGTATAAAGTAAAAATCACCATGGCAAGGAATTTGCCACACTAACTATAAAAAACTCCACTGACATTAAAACCAATGTATTGTTTCCAGCACATATCCAGCTTTAATTTATCCTAAAGTATTTGCAGACACAAAGAACCACACTCCCCCTCTTTCTTTAAACCAAATATTCCAGATTCAAGCTCTGTTTGCCAAAAATAGAACACGTTTGCAACTACAGCAATTGGAATTGGGTACTGGTTTTATAACGTGTCTAGGAAACAACAAAGACGACAAACTGGACCTAATCACCTCCTGCCCTTACATCAGAGCACAGAATGCTGTTTTAATTGACTCTTAACATTATTTTAAATTACAAATGGGGAACTTAAAATCCAGACGAAACTAAGGCATTTACCTCAATGTTTTCCTCCCCAAACTTCTCCACTGCAGTCTCTTCAGAATACCCACAGGCTCCATACTCCAAAGGCGTGAATACAGTAGTTGGAACATTCACATAGTCACACTGTGTGGCATTCAAAACAAAACAATAAACATCAGTAATAAAATCAGCACACTTGGTAAAAATTCAGCACTCAAAGACAGGAAGAAGAGTTGGATTCTTCATAATTCTAAAAGCTAATTTTTTTGGTAATTCTTTTAAATTAAGATACAGTTTTAGTTTTGTCCCTCTCAGAGGTGTTAACTAGAGCAAGAACAGAAAGACAGTTTAAAGCCACACTGACATTAATATGCATAGATTAAAAGGAAGAGGAAATTCAGTGCCCTGTTTTAAAAGTGTACCAGATCACAGGGCAAACTGGAGATAAAAAGCAGACTGCTCAACTGCTTCTACAAAGCATGCTATTTTTAGCGGGCATGCTGCAAAGACACCACCACCATCCAAAAAACATCATCTTTTTTATTAACTGTGGCCCAGGTGGTGCCATAGAACCAGAAAGACATGAACTACTGCCATTTGGGGGGACAGCTAGAACTAGAGCTGATACTGTGTGCTCAATCATATACCATGAGAGGCAAATGCTGACCCCTAACTCCACTAGACCTTTAGAGTGTTCTAGAGGTCCCCTCTCTGGGCAACCTCTGGGCCTGACCACCCTCACTGTAAAGCTTTTTCTTATGTTTAAACAGAATTTTCCTGTATTTCAGTTTGAATCCATTGGTTCTTGTCCTTGCACTTTATACTACTGAAAAGAGTCTCACTCCATCTTCTTTACTCTGTACCATCCGATATAAATACACATTGATATAAGAGCCCCCCCAAGCCATCTCTTCTGTAGGGTATGAAAATTCCCAGATGTCTCAGCCTCTCCTCATGTGTCAGATGCTCCAGTCCCTTATCCATAGTCATGGCCCTTTGCGGACTTGCCCTGCCCTTCTTGTACTGGGGAGCCCAGAACTGAACACAAAATTCAAATCTGTCTCACCAGAGCCAAGTGGAGGGGAAAAGGTCACTTCCCTCCATCTGTTGGCAACGCTTTGCCAGGATGCATCTGCAGGATGCAGCCCAGGATGTCACTGGCCTTCCTTGCCATGAGGGTACATTGCTGCTGCATGGTCGAATTGTTCTCCAGGCCCCCTGAGGCTTTCCCTGCACAGCAGCTTTACAGCTGGTGGGTCCCCAGCCTGGGCTGGTACATGGTTACACCTCCCCAGGCACAGGACGCTGCAATTCTCCTTGTTGAACTCGAGATTCCTGTCAGCCCATTTCTCCAGCCTGACGAGGTCCCTCTCAGTGACAGCACAAACACTGGGCGCAACAGTGGCTTCCTCCCAGTTTTGTATCATCCTCAGACTTGCCAAGTGCTCACTCTGTCTTATCATCCAGATCATTAATGTAGATGTTAAATAGTACTGGACCAAACATCCAGCCCTGTGACACACCACTAGTGACTGGCCTTCAGCTGGTTTTTGTAATGCTGCCCACAGCCGGTTTTCAATCCACCTCACTGCCCTCTTACCTAGCCTGTACTTCATCAGTTTGTCTACGAGAATGTTATGGGAGACAGTGGCAGAGTCAAGGTAAACAACCTCCACTGCTCTTCCCATACCCACCAAATTAGTCATTCTACCACAGCAGACTAGCAGGCTGGTCAGCTCTATTTAATTTCTAGGAATTTTAACTTCTATGGATTTCAACTCTGATTTCCTTTGTGACTGTGAATCAACTAAGATGCTTCTTACTATTCCTTCCCCACCTGTCCATAACACTTCATTATGTTTCATACAATCACCCTTTCCAGATTTGTTAAAACAGCAATGTAATCCAGGTTCCTATCTAGGCAGTTACTCATTTACAGGATTCACTGAAAGAGGTGATGCTTTCTGTGGCAGCATAAGGGTTTTCATACCTTAAGAGACAGTTATCTGGCATAGAATGTAAATTAAGACATATCCATAGTATTGCAGCAAGAAAACAATTCTGGCTCCAGCTATGGTTTTCTGAAACTTTGCCTGGCTAATGTAATTACATTATGCACAACACTGATTCAGGATTCTGTTACCAATGTACCTGCCAACCTAAAATAAAGAACTCCAGCTCTAAATCTGGCTGACAGCTGAACTTGATATGAATACAGCAGGCTCTACAAAGGAAAAACTTTCATGCTCATGTCCTACGGTTATGAAGGTGAAACAAGCACCCACATCACTGCTGCTTGGATAACAGTTCTTTAAAGCCACTCTCCTTTCCACCTGGTTTAAAGATAAGGTATAAATGAGTACTTATGTTACTCCTGTTTAGACTGGTGTAACCTGACTGAAACCTACAATTGCACTAGTATGAAACATAAACGCTGAATCGATGAATTCAACTTCTCAGACATAAATATGTGCTGACTTACTGGCACTTTTGATCTTCCTTTGTGTCCACATTCAATTCTAAGCAGAACTATGTACTACATTGAAAACATACGGATGAGAAGTGAAAACATTAGTGGAAATAACATTGAAATGAAGAGTATCAAACACCTATAAACCTATTATACTCTATTTAGGGACAATAGGTAGGTTTAGTAAACTGCCTAGGAATTAGAGTTAAAGCATTTAATGGGATGGGAATGACTGCTGACTTTCAGGGAAGGTGGGGGAGTTAAAAACATGTTAAATGATCTCAGTTAATTTTATTATCATTATACTCTGAGAGAAAAATAAAATGTCTTAATAGGAAAAAAGAGACTACTGCTTAATCCATAAGGTAGTAATTTTATCCTACATAATTAGCAGAACATATCTGCAGTAATATCTTTGCAAGGGGAAAATTAAAATTATCATCAAAGCTAATCCTTAAAAGCCTACTGAATTTTCCATAAACAGCAGACTTGCACTCTGCACTTAGAGGTAGAGCAGTGACAGCATTCCTTACCTTACTGGTTGCCCCAGCATAAAGCCTTTGAACCAACAATCTTCCTGCCTGGATTGCCACTGGTGTGAGTTCCAGCTTGTCCTGCAGAATATCTCCAACAGCATAGATATATGGAACATTTGTTTGTTCCTCATCGTTGACAGGAATTTTTCCTGTTCTGCAATTAGAATTAACAAGAAAAAAGATCTAAGTGTTCTGCTGTGAAGACTGGAGGTGTAAATAACCTGGCAGGAATTAGGCCCCATCACCTTAAGACAAGTATTTGAAGTATGAGGGAAAGATGTCATATTCACAATCTTACAATCTTGGGCAAGAATATAAAGCAGTGCGAATTTGGCCAAAACTACAGGAATCTGCATGTTTGATAAAGAGGTAGACCATGAAGTTGAGATTCATCTCCTGAATCAACTCTTTGGTGAGGCATAAATGCTTTCCTCAAACACCCTCTACTACCAGCTGAGCTGTTTACTGGCAACGTTAAGGAATGACAGGAAGAGACATTCTCCCACTCAAGCTGTAAGACTAAATAATTTCTCCACTACTGAAATTCCAGTCCAGTGGCTGAAGCAGTTTATAAACTTACCCTTCAGGCTTCTTACAGAGAGACAGGTCAAGCTGTTAGAGACCCTACTTATGGGACAGCAGGCTTTTTAGCTATAAGTGTACTGATCTAATGGATGTTTTTAATTATTAATATTTCCTACTTCATTAATAAATGAGATAGTGCAGTAATCACTGCAGGAAACACATGTAACAAGGAAACCTAATCAGAGAGGCACAGAAAGAGTCACACAGTTATTGGTGGGACCGGCAGTAATTCCCGTATTAAAATCCAACTTCCTCAATTTTGCTCTTGTTAACAAATACAAAATTTATGCTAATAATTTTACATTTCATTCTATTAAGCTAGTAATAGGTGCCCTGATGTCAGAAAGATGTGTACTGTTCTACAAGAAAACATGGTTCTGCCAGTTTTGAGTGGACCAAAATTTCCACTTCAGAACACTGCAACAGTTCCCTTCAGCAACATCAGTCACTGCATTCCTATATACGCTGGCCTCTGCACTGTTTTTGCATAGACTACCAAGTTCATGGTCCTGTCTTTTCTTCAAAGGGAAGGTCATCTCGGCCCCACACACCTAGAAGATGGTCTAGTTACCAATATTGAAAATGTTACCGATAGCTCCACTCCCTGGTGCAAAGACCTTACTACATTGAACATGAAATGCTCTACAGGACACTGATTGTTCCCAACAGTTGCTCTACAGCAAGAAATAAACTCATCCAAAACCTAACACACATCGCCAATTCCAACTGTGAGTTTAAGGAATGTTATTTTGACCTTGTATTTAAAAATAAATATATAGTATATAGTACCATTTACTAAAAGCCGGTATGAATGAACAAGATCTCTGTCCCAAGAGGTGGCAGAGATAAAAACAAAGAAATGGGAATAAGAGAGTACAAGGAACAACTGACAGATCCTAGAAAGCCCTGTCACTGGAAGAAGCTGAGATTGACCTGTGAACCTAGACAGAATGAAACACGCTTTTGACTCCCAGCATATAGGAATTGACACCAGTAACAAAAAAGCAAATGTGGCAGTACTATGGGAGAAAATGCAGCTATCTGCTACATAGTCCATTCAAGTGTATGCAAACAGGTAACAAATTATCCTCAGAGCATCTGAATGTCTATGCACCATTACCATTGCAACAGTAAACGACACAAGCTCAGCAGTGACTGGTATACAGACTTCTGTCCTTACTTTTCATTTATCTGCACTCCAACTTTGTCCAAACCAATTTTTCTTGTGCATGAATCTCGTCCAATAGCTAGCAACACCTGCAAAACAGCAGTGCACATTACTGATTTTTTTAAAACCTCAGAAGTGCATTTGAATGTGGCTATTATTTTCACTATATACTAAGGATTAGTATCTAAGGCTTGACCACATAAACATGAATACATTTGTTACCCATTGTATGTTCACAGAGTTCAAGACAAGCCACACCACCACCATGACCTAACAATACCAGGTTTTAATTAGAAGATTAAATACAACCAAGTAACTTTCCCTGGAAAAATACCCCAAGAGTATTCTATATAAATTGGGTAGGGTCAGAATCTTTATTTCCTTGCAATTTTATACCAAATTTTTATACCATATCTCTACCAGAGCAGGTGACCCCAAAATCTCCATAAAGAAAGGGCTCTGTAGGAAGGAAACTCAGATGCTTATGCAAATAAAAATACCACAAATTAATCTTTGTTTTAGTCAGAAAATATCATTAACTTGTATAGGCTCTCAGTCAAATTCACTGCCAAAGAATATTATTTGTTTGAACATTTGTTCAGAACTGTTCAGACAGAGCGAGCCAAATTCTTATCCATCCTATCAACTTGACTACCTTAACAAACAAAACAAGTTCCAGCCTATAGTATCACAAGGAAAAGTGCTATGTGCTTTGCAGTCTTGGACAACTGCCCAAGTAACTACACAATGCTTCTCATAACGACAGCTAAGAATGGTTCTAACAGCATCCAAGATTTGCTTCAAGCCTTTTAGAAGACCAAGCATGACAATCTTCAGAGCTGAAAGTCTTAAAATGCACTGCACGCAGCTCATAGCTTCTATGAGGAGTGACAGCATTTCAGTAAAAGATGTAGTAGCAATAAGAAATCAGAAGTTTCCTTCCTGAAAGGATGGCACTGAATTTCTAGCTAAAAAGCTTTTACTACTATGGACCAGGAAAAACAGTATTACAGCACTGTGCAACAGCACTGTCGTTATTGTTAGACTTTCTCATAAAATTAGCCCTCAGACATATTGAAGCATGTCCTTGCTATGGGATGACTGATGCACTATACAGGTAAATGAGGTCACTGGCACACAGTATTTGCAGTCTAAAATCCCAGGCTGGCAAATCCTTGTCTTTATGCATCCTCTGTAGTTCCAAATACTTTATTCACAACTTATTTTTTTCTTTCAGCATCAAGGCCTAAGAAAATGAGTGGTGTGAGGGATGATGGAAACAGTCAATCAAACATTATAATGGCATACCGGCACACTGCAATTTTATTAAGTGTGTAATGAAGTTCTCTGACTTGTCACAGGGTGTTAATTATTTTTCTGAAGATGCTGCATCAACAACAGGTCTTGAGAAGACGACATGACACTTGTTTGTTTAGCTTTTGCACCAACCATTGTTTTGTGCTAAATCCAGAACACACTTTAGTTACTATGAAAGCTATTATAAACCATCACTTATTGTTTATGACAAATATCCCACTGGGGAAAAATTCTGCCACTGATTCCACATAACCAAGTTCATCTACATCCCTAAGCTAAGAAACAGGTTTCAGAAGCGTGCAAGCAATTTGGCAAGGCACATGGGACTCATGCCCATGGATTCTGGGACTTTTGTCACATTAATTACCTGTCGATTCTGTGCAATCAGCATATTGTAATGATTAAAATAATTCTAGAAAACTAAACTATGGATAAAAACACCCCTCAAAATCTCAACATTAAATGCGAGGCTATTTCACGTTCTTCACGTATATAGACAGGACTCACAGTATTGTATTCGCCTTCAATTATTTGGTTTCCCTTTGTGGACTTGGCTGTAACTTTCAATCTTCCAGGAGTTCCTTCCTCAATCTGCTCAACCTACAACATCATAGGGGAAGAAAAAAGGGGGGGCACAAAAAAAGAAAAAAAGGTGTTTGTTTCAAATAAAGATATACAAATATATCTTTGTCCCATCACATACCTTATAACTGTTTAACCATGATCTAAAATTAAGCATTTATTCTAAAGATATTTTCACCTTTCTCTAGATTTGGGATTACTACTTGCATATTTAGACATTTTGGTTTATCTCCATGCATTTATTCTTATGACCAACACAATAAGACCTCATTTCTGTTTATAAAAGTTGATTGACAGCTAAGTTCTTGTAGAAGCCCTCCACATGAGCTGCTCGTATGAACTGGGAACAGAGGAAGTGAGGAGGAAGGGAACTCTTGAAAGAGACCAGGAAACACCATCAGACACTGTCTCCAACCACACCCAGAGGACCACTGTGCCTTCCAGCCGTGGGAAACCACTGTCACAGCCCAGCCTTAGCAGTACAGGCCTTGGCCCTGTTTCAGTGACATTAGTCTGACACGTAAAGCTGCCATGGCCTTGCAGGAGAGGGCAGCAGCTGGCTCTAAATGGCTGAAAAGACACCATCAGCTTAAGAAAAAAGAACTTCAGAGTTCCCCAGTCAGCTGAAATAAGTATTTCTAGTTTTAAGCTACAGATCCAGCTGCTCGCTCTCTCAAGTAATGCAGCAGCTCTCTATACTAGCAGAGTTAAAAAAAAAAAAAAAAGAAAAAAAAAAAGTGTAAAGGTGAACCTTTTTGCAATCATGCTCTTTGTTTGGAGTAATTAAAAAAAAAGTTTATTTAAACCAAAACAAAATCCAAAATACACCCCATTCCACACCCCACCCTGCCATATACCAGAAAACAAAAATAGACCAGAAAACACTGGCTTTTTTCCCCAAACACTCCTTTTTCCTCTGATAAATAAATCAACTAAACAAGTAAATGGAATTTGAAGCTACATAGGTGGGTTATTTTTTGTCCTCATCAATACTCACTGTACTGTGAAGAAAGGACTGGATATCCTCAGCTACCATCCTTCCCTTACCCTCCCATGAAACAGTAAGGTGCCCAGCTGCTTCCTGCGGCTGGCTGTACATACAAGGGACATGTATGTGTGAAACAATTCTCGGAAATTTTAGTGTTCATTCTACAGATGAAAAAGTACTCTTCAACAACTGCCCTAGTTCCTACTTCATATTCAGTATCTAGAGACAAAAAAATCCCAAAGTTTCTGACAAGGTTCTGTTCTCCCCTGTCCTTTATTTTTAAAATTTGTAAATCCCAAACTTTCTGTGCCATCCTACCCACTTTAAAGGATTGCTGTGTTAAACTGCTCCTGTTCAAAAGCAGCATTATTTATAACAATTCATCTTCTGTCTTCAAACGTCCCAACGAAGGGTTTTAATAAGCACAACACACAACTTCAAAAACAATGTTTGAAAGAGATGAGAAGTCCTGATAAAAACATATCCAGCAACTTAAGTTTAAGGATATTCTCAACTACAAACAGGGCCAAGTATTTTATTCCCATTGAAAACAAAGACATATAGTGAACCAGCACAGTAAATACACACAGGTGCATTTTGTGACTAGGGTGATGGACTGCTCTTTGTGAGGTGCATCTGGAGGGGCCCACTTGCCATTTAGATCTTGTAAAAACAGCTTCCTTCTTCCTCATCCCCCATTAGAGCCTACAAAAAGCTATATCTGAAACAAAAGCTAGATAATCATCCCTGCTTTTCATACAACATGGGATTTCTGCAATGCAAACACACATAAAAACGAAGTTCCTTGAAACATCTACTTTGACTTCTCACAGCAAATCTCTTACACTTTGGGAGAGAGGGTCAGATCCACAGCATGATAGCTGGCAAGAATATTTTTTAAACTACTCTTTATATTGCTAAGGGTGAAAACAGCCTTCACTCGATTTAATGCTTTAATCCCCCAAACTGTTAAACTTGGTAACACACTGGCTTAACACCAAATTGAAAAACGCTTAATACATTATTTCCCATTTCATAATAATTAAGCGCTAGTTACTGTGAAAAAACCATTAAGCAAAATACTGTTAGCACCCTCTGAAGTCTTTGATAAGGCAATTTTACATTAGAAAAGCTCCAGAGCTTATCTAATTTGCTTTTTAACCAGAATTTGCCTATATGTGTTTGTAACTAACTGCACAAGCACTCCTACTGAATTCAACAAAAACTGAGCAAGTATTTAAGGACTTTGCCAAGTAAAGGATATAGATGGATACTTCTAAAGCCTGTTTACTTTTCTGGATAGTCCACTGGTCCTGGGTACATAAGCACTATTTGCTGGCTGCAAATTTGAGAACTGGCAATGAAAAATATGACTATTTGTGATGCACTGGCCCTGATCTTACAGGAAATTATATATCTTCTTAATTATGAGAATTATATATCTTCTTAATTATGTAAGAAGTTTCACAGATTTCAGGACAACTGCTGAATCTGCAGGACCAGGATGAGCAGGAGTAACAATGTTTTCAATGCAACATATACTAACCTATCTAATTGTGACAAAAACAATGACTCCTGGAATCTCACAAAATTTTGACACCAAGTTGTACCTTTCAATTACATAAGATTCGTGGACTCAGTTTAAACCAAGAATTAACCCATACTATACTGTAACAGATCCTGTGTTGCAAACTCAACTTTTGTATTCATTAAAATAATTTATATCTTAAAACATTATGCTAGGTATATCACAATCAATTGTAGCCATATACCACATTGAGCCTACCTTGATCGGCACAAACTCCCTAATAAAGTTGATTCCATGGTCTTCCATATATTTGCCAATTTTGTTTGCAATATCCTGGTCAAATCCTCTTAAGAGGATGGATCTCACCATTACAGTGACATCCAATCCAAGACCTCCAAGAAATCCTGCACATTCTAAGGCAACATAGGAAGCTCCAACCACCAGGGTTTTCCCTGGACAGTAAGGCAGAGAGAAAAGATCATCACTGATTAAAAAAAAAAAAAAAGAGGGGAAAAAAAAGAAAGTTAGAGACAACCAGAATAATGTATTGTGCTTTGCATTTATCTAATTTCTTCTATAAGAATAAGACTTTATTCCTCTTCCTGCTCACTAAGAAAACCCAATGACTTAATTTTTTGGAAATTCAGCTGGAATATAAGATCGTTATTCAGCTGCCATACATGACAAATTAAAAAGTTCTAATTAGGAGTACACACAAAAAAAAGAGCATGAAAATTCTGAATCACCACAAAAATTGAGGGTTTTTTCTTACAGAAACTTATGGCAAATTGTTAAAAAGAAGGTAGGTGGGTATTTTTTTTCTCTGAACCTTGCTTCAAATATTTTGCTGCAAATTTTAGTTCCTGAGAGCTGAAAGGAAGAGGAAGGGGTTCAGCTTCAAGATAAAAATACCATGTTCACTTCTTTGAAGACTTATCCTTTTTCTAAAGCATTATACACACTGCCAAAAATACACAGACAATAAAACAAATTAATGCAAATCATAGTAACTGGCAGAGATAGAAGTACAAAATTATGTAAAACATGTTCATTTGCCTGCTTTCCATTTCTTTCAACTCCTTCATCAAGCTACATCAGTTCTACCACACTTTGGACTGAGACTACAAAACCAGGGCTTCTCGAGGAAGCAGGGACTCATGGAGGCATCACACTTGCTTGTCAGAGACTTAGGCAGTTTGGCAATGCAATTCTCTGAAGATTTTAATCTAAAATAAGTCTCTCTTTCTCAGCCAACAACTGCAAAGGCTAAAGAAGACGCTCTCTGCAAATGTGGTGGTGAAATAAAATATGATTTCATAATTAAAGGCTACATCATAGTTCCTATCCCCCAGGGAACACAAGGAAAATTACACAGCCAGCCTCAACCTGACAGCCTTTAACTCTGGCATTCCTGACTCCTACACCTCAATGTTACTTTAAAGTACCACTTTACAGGCTGTTATCTGTTACCTTTAATTTCAGTACTACTTATTAGAAGGAAACATACAACATGGTATTTTGATTTCACAGGGATTATGCCAGTTATTTATTTCATGGCTAGAGGTTTGCAAGCCTGTAATTTCAACCTCTGTTTCTACATTAAGTAACTTAAAACTTACTCTGACATGAAAACACATTTCATCTGCATATCACTTTTTTTTTGGTCAAAATTGTGCTAGAATTGCTTGGTCTTATCAATTAACCAGACATTTGAAACTGGTTTTCCCAAAAGTTAAATTAACTTCCTTGAGTAGCTGGAAAAAAATTGGGTTGAGTTTCAAGACTGCCCCAATGCATGAAGACAGAGACACTTCTATCTGCTTCACAACATCAAGTGCTTTGCAACTCCTGATTTCCCTGATATTTGAGCAGGGAGGTTTCTTTCAATCAGACTGTGCTCTTCATTACCAAAAAAAGTTCAGTATGTGAACTGAAATACCATAATGAATAGAAAAGTGTGTGTACTGGTAACTGGGGCAGAGCTGATGAATTAATTTTATCATGGACATACACATGATTTATGGGTTTCTTGGTTACTGCTGTTATCAGTCAGAAACAGAACCATCTCAGCCAGCCATCCACAGTCCTGTGGTGTCTACTAGACACCAGTGGGTTTAGCACCTTAAAATTCATCTGTAGCTATTCTCCTGCACTTACTTTCCCCTAACAAAAAGTTACAAAGTGAAGAAAACCAGCAACCAAGCAGCCCTGCTCAGGCTTCACCACTTTCTCTTACAGATGAAGCATTTACACACAGTGAATGGCTTCATATTCCTCCCTTATTTTTACCTGCTAATGCAGTATTCCTTGTCTCCAGGTATACCCAGGTAGCGTGGTCGTTCACCAGTGGCAATAAGAAATCTCTCAGCTGTGTACAGTTTCTCAACTCCTCTTCTATTTGTTGCCTATGGACAAAGTATTAATCCAACGTGAGTATTTTGCAGTTCTACTGCGGGAAAAATTATTCTATTTGAAAAGCATCTCTATTCAGAAAGTACTAAAGGAAAACCCAGCAAACATGGCTAAGGAGTACCTTAACTGTGTGTGGCCCAACAAATTCTCCGTATGCATTCTCATACATGACTTTCTTCTCTCTCAGTGCAACCCGATATCCCCAGTTCAGTGAACCAACGTAATTCTGAATAGATTCTGTCATAGTCTTCCAGTTGTGTTTGACTGTTAGAAACAAAAGAGAAAGGTTCATCTTTCAGTCTGAGAGTTCCTTTTCCATAGCAAACCTTGTATTCTCAGACCAATTTTTTTCATGACCCAGTCACCTTTATCTTATTCCTTTTTTATTCCAGGGCAACTCTACTGAAATTCAAAGAATTACATCGGCGTAGACAACATGAGAGGTCACATTGGAAAAGATAACACTTAAAACATAGAAAATATAGACTTACTGCATTATCTGTAGTTTTCTATTGACCCATGCTGTGAGCAGGTGAAGTTGCTCAACAAATGAAGACTATGAATGTCTGAGAGGTGCCTCTGCATGTTCCCCACTCCAGGATTACACCCTAAATAAATTCCAATCCTATAACCACGCACATTAGAACTAGTAGAAGTAAAATTTATCTTCTTATGTAGTAGTGACAGAGCCAGGGGAAAAGGGAATCCTTGTCTGCAATTATGAGGAAGTTTCTAGCAGCACATTCTGGAGTATTCCCTTAGATGTTGTGTTACATTCAGAAATGAAGTAGTACCGTATTGCTTTTATTCACACAGTAATCTTATCAAATGCTAACATGATCAGAAGCTATTAATAAACATATCAAATGCTGCAAGGCAATAAGCCCCGTGGCTTTAGACTTGAAAAGTGCTTAAATTTATGTGTAACCTCTCTGAAGTTGCCTCACATTGTTTAAGCCAGCGCATGCTTAAGTGTGACAAGCACTTGGTTGTGAAAAGACCCTCTGGATTTTCAGTACAAACAAAACTGAAAAAAAGTGTTCTCTTCCTTCACCTTCTTCCGTAAACTGCCATCCAAATCTGCGTGAATCTTCCAAGGCTTGTCCCAGTAAAGCTGCCTGGTGCATCAATTTTTTAGGTATACAGCCCACATTTACACATGTTCCTCCAAGACCTGAGAGAAAGGAACAGAGTATGTATTTCGCATCAGCGTGGCTGATCTCGAAAGAGAATCAGAGTCTCTGAATAAAGCTCCTTTATAACAGGTTTGCAATGAAAAGAAATTTACCCCATGAATTTCCCAGTGGCGTAGGTTTGACAAAGTCCAGCACCATCACCTTCTTTTCATATTTGGCAGCCTCCTGCAAAACAAATTAAATAAAACCCGTATCTAAATATTAGAGGTTAAATTTGTAGTAGATGCATTGCTGAAAAGCTTTGTGACTTTTAATTTAGTAATAATGAATGATTTGCAAGGGAACAGCCAGACAGTCATTAATCTTCTGAATTAATCTGTGCACTCAGTAGGAAAAAAAGATCAAAGGAAAAAAATAGGCATTCATCCTGCTACACAACAGCACAGCACCAGTTGATATGCAGAAGACTCTGGGAGTCAGACCTTCATCCTGTCAGTTTGTTCACACTATTTCCTAACATGTCATTTACTTTTAACATATTTAACAAATTCTTCATTAATCCAGTTTTCCCTTCAAAGATGGTTTCTCAAGCATTTGTTTGAAAACACATCACACGATGACATAATCAGTCATGTGGCCAAACATTACAACTGTGCTTATCCAATCTGTTTTCTTGTAGTAGAAGGGAACACTTGATTTTAAATACAATCTGCAGCTGTTAGGATCAGCTCTTGCTCTTCAAGCTAGTCAAGCTGTGGCAAGCTGACTTTACTGTCAGGATATGCAGATATCATCCAGACTAGAAAAGTGATGGTTTATTTCACAGAATCAACTAGGATGGAAAGGACCCTGAAGATCTAGTCCAACCATTAAGCTAACACTGACAGTTCTCAACTACACCATATCCATCAGCACTATGTCGACCCGACTCCTAAACATCTCCAGGGATGGGGACTCCACCACCTCCCTGGAATATCACTTTCATGGTATTTCCCCGAGAAGTCTCATTAGCAAATCTACAATCAATGTCTGTAAATGATACTGAGAACTGGAACTGATACACTGCTTCCTTTGTGCTTTTCAAGCAAAAGGCAAAAATCAACGTGGTAACTGGTACCAGAGAAAAATACTTAAGTAAGCACTACATAGCTGAGAAACAGTAACAACAGACTCCCCCATGAAATGCAGCAAAATAACTTTGCTGCTTGGAGTAACCACAGCTGTGCTGCATCACATGGTGAGTTCTTAGACATGCAAGCAATAACAACTATAGGCACAGGGTATTACCCTAAGGCCTTGGGTTTGGTTTGGCAGGAGCTGGAAAGCCTTCAGCATTATGTTACCAGTAATACTTGTTAATCCAAACAGCTGACAATCAGAATTTCAATTTTAAATGTATCTTCATGCAAAATACAAATCATATTTCAAACAACACAGACTGTAGACACCTTTGGAAAATATTGCTGTACTGGATTTCTACTTCTGACAAAGGTTGGCCAAGAAGCTAATTTCTATCCATTAGCAGCACCTCTGAGAAAGTTCCCCAGAAAGGTGCTTAAGGACTGAGATGCATGACTAATGCTCCTTTATAATAACAACTCTTATACACAGCTCAAAAGTTTTACTAGTTCTAGCTAATTAGAATGCATGGCTTCCCAAGCTTACACTCACACAACACAGCACAACACTGCATCGCCACCTCGGGTAGAGATCACAGATATAACCACTTCTGCAGAGTGATAACGCCCACAGTAACAAAACCTGCCCTGAAGACTTTCAATCCTGACAGGGTTCAGTGCAGTGCTGCAATGAACACACCAAGGTTGCTTAAGTCTGGAGATGTTCTGTGTGAACTGACAGTAGTGGCCTGGCACTTTGGTCTGGCTCTGTAGTTGGGTTGCAGAGTCAGTTTGGCAGCATCTGCACTCACTGTGGAGACATGTCTTCAAAATAACAAGCTCTGAGCACAATATAGAGAGGAAGACGTGCACACAAAGCTGCATGTGTCAGTGAAAAGCACACATTTAATCGACCTAGTTAAACTGCTGTAAACCTGAGTGTAGATATCTAGAACTTGCTATAAGAGCTGTGTAGTTGGATTTTTTTCATTTTGTTTTTGCTTTTTAAAGCACTGTTCATTAATTCACTAAAAAATTTGAATAGGCTAGGTATGTCAGAAGTTTATGCATGTAAAAGTTTCACTTCAACATCACGAAACTGATTTGAGATACACACATTACTACTGATAGTGATGTTGACTTTATTGATCTACCATCTTCTGCTCTACTCTACATCACTTGAGAACACTAAGAAGCAATATACTTGATACACTGAGTTGAACAAATAAGGCAATTTATCTTCCTAGATACAGACCTTTTCTGTCCAACAGCTGAAAAATGATGCCATAAACATCAATGCTGTAGCTTCATAACCTAGCATATGTATACAACAAAGCAGAGCAGTCTCCTTATGGAAATTTCAACAGATGGCTTTTTATTACTGCAAACTAGTTTTGCATTACTGCAAGCTCCCTTTTAATCTTATTATTCTCTTCTGTCCTAAAACATCCCCATCCCCCAAGAACCAGTGTCTGCTTCTCTTTGTGGGTTCTCAGAATTTTTATAGATCTTATCCTCCATCCTAGGCTGTGACAACAGTTCCCCTATTGACAGGAAGGCAGTAAACTACCGAAATAGATTATGGACATGTAACACATTACAATCCACCACTCAGCACTGCACTCTTCCATTAAGACAGAGCTCTTCTAAGGGACCAAGGTTTAGTATGAATCCAATGTTATGCTGAAATATTTTCTCTTGGTTTCCTCTTGCTTCCCAGTGACCCTTCTTCACTTCTCAAGAACAAAAGAAATGCCTTGCCTCCTGAGTAGATAAATAATTCAGCTACAGGACTTGAGCAACAAAATACTTTTACTTCTAGGAATGCCCAATTCACTTCTAAATAGTTAATTTTACTACTGCAAGAAAAGGTAAAATGTGCCTAACTACTGATGTAAAGCAGACTTACTGACATACTAAATTTCAGCAAGTTTCAAATATTTGGAAAAATGACAACTCTAAGAGCTGGTATATTCTGCATCACTGTGGATTCTTTCAATTAATTCTAGATATGCTTCTAAAAGCAATACCCTAGCCAAAAATCACAAATTATTTGGCTACAGGCAGGATGTACCAGACCCTAGAAATGGAGGGTGAGATCTTAACTCCACTTAAATATAGGCAAAATCTCCATTTAGCAACTATATAAGCTCACAAATCACAAAATGTCCCCCACTGTGAAGGAATTAAAACAACATACGTGGCTATGTCTGAACAGATATTACTTTCAGATAAAACTAGAAACCTCCTGATGTTAATTTTGAATAGGTTTAAAAACTTTTTCAATCACAAGTTGTATTCGAATTCAGCCACTAGTAAAGACTGTTGAGATACCTACCAACAGAATCATCTCCCATTAGTGGGGACCAAGTTACATTCTACTATAAAGTATAACATAACATTTTAATGTTTTTCTTCTTCAGAACATAACGAAAAGAATATTGTATAACTGGGGCTAACTTCAAAAGAAATCCCACTGATCAGGCAGAAATGTTATGCCCCTACAGTGTTAAATGCAGATACAAGACATTGAAGATGTTACCCACCTACTTACAAGGAAAATATAAATCTGTATTTTCTCTCTCATACCTTGGCAGCTGCCAGACCACCTGAGCCCCCACCAATGACAATGAGATCATAGTCGTAGGAATGTGGCATTGGCATACGTCCATTCATTTCCAGCAGGTTCTGAGACTTGTCTTCCTTATGCACCTGAACAGAGAAAACAAAAAAGGATTAGGAAACATTGAAATGTTACCCACAGTGCTCAAAAATTAGTATTTTCATCAGCAAATATTATGATAAGGGAACATAAGTGTATCCGAAATTTCAGAGCTCTGCTTTTAATTAGCTTTTAAAAAATTAATCTTCTGAATCAATTCTTGAATAGCTCAGTACCTATTAGATACTGAACTATGAATTTTCTTGTTTGTTGGAGCTTTGGGTTTCTTTGCAGAGCTTAGTCTTCCATATCAATGCAACTCCAGTGCCTCCTCATACTGCGTACTCCAGGATGAGACACTTATCTTCTGACACATACATTCCATTAATTTATGTTATTCTTTTCATCTGCCTGGACTTTTCTAATTAGTGTTTCTTCCCCTCCTCCTGCATATATTAGTAGGAAAATATAATGATCATATACAACATTGTAATAATCTGCAATTATCAGCCTTACCAACTGAATGAACAGAACTGAATGAAGAAAACTATTTCCAAAACCTCCATTTTTGTAACATGCTGGTGTTTATTATTGCTTGGGTTTAGCATTGTAACTAACTTTGGTGTCAAATGGATCAAGTGTGATCACTACAGTTTCACATGAGATTCTTTTTTTTTCCATCAGGTGACTACTGCCACAGAAAAACAACCCTTGAGACCCAAAATGGATTTTGACAGCTGTTTGACACAAAGAACACTGTATTGTCTTCATATAACCTTTCTAAAATGAGCCTTTGTACTTAATTTGCAAAGCTCTGATTTATCAGGGGTTCAGACCTTCAAGCCTTAGGAGTTGCTGGCAAATTCTCAATGTCTCTCAAAGTGCAGGACAAGATCTGGAGTAACTAAAAATCAGATTCCTCAGATGATGTAAATCAGTTCAACTAAAGTCATGACAGAACTTTTTAGACCAAAAAAAGTAAATAATGAAACCCATACTTAATCCCTTCACAAATCTTCTCGCTTTTATTCAAGTGTTTCCATCTGCTTAACTAGGCAGGACCTGATTCAGTACTACTAGAATAGTCATGGCAAATAAGAAGAAAAAAAACCCCAGAAGTTTCCCTTCTATTCTCATCTTAATTTTCTTTTGTATTAAGCAATCCTTTGCACTCAACTCATTCTATTGTCACCTTCCTCTGAGGTTAGATTATTCCCTCTCTGTAAGTACAACTGTGTCTCCCCTAGAGACTGCTGCCAGCACAGCCGTATCACTGACAAAATTCCCCTATCCCTCCAGCAAATTACCCAGCAATGTCAGCAGAACTTCAGACTGTGCATCCGCCTGTAGAAGGTTACATTTTAATAGTATTTCATAAACCTGGGTAGCATGTTGATAGTAGAAACAAAACCCTAGAAAACACCTGTGGCTGTTGTGAAAATGTCCAAAAATACCTCATGTTCCTTCCTCTTCACCTCCTGCTCTGACAACCCAATATACACCCCTATCACTGATTCTACTCTGCACTCAGTTCCCCTTTTTTCTGTTTTTCTAACACGGCCATTGGCCAGGCTCAAACTTTGTACCGCAATCAGAGCAAGGGTGAAAAAGGAGCATACATTGTGTTATGATAGACAGTTTCACCGTATCTGTATTTAGGGACATAAAAGAAGAGAAAGAGTGGCATTCTTCTCCAAAGGACACTTTCTTGTTTGCTCAGTAGCAACAGGATGGTGTGAAGCTTCAGGGCAGACTAACTCCCACACAGTCATCACACCCAACTACCAAGAACGGTATCTTTATGATGCATATAAAGAAACCACAATACCTACTCATGAAAATTGCTTAGATCACTACTTATATCATGCTACTTTTTTTGTTGTTGTTAAGAAAAACGTTTTATGTTTTCACATGGATTAAGAAACTTCAGCTTTTATCCCCTACTGCTTGGTTCATTTTTCATGAAGATATATTAAAAGTTTAGATCAGACAAAGTAGATTACAACCTTCTTCTCTGTAACCACCTCCTAGAACCCCGCTCCAAAGCGGCCAGGTTCTTGACAAGCTCCGCATCCCATTTACTAGGAGAACCTGTCCACGAGCAGGATCTCCTCCGTCCTTCTCCCAAGAAACACAATTTTTTAAAGAAAGCCTACATTCTCATTATTTTTCAACATCAAAACTAAATTACAGACTTTAAATTGTATCTCCTACCTTTAAAGTTTTCTCATGATCTGCTATTTGCTTCTCCTGTACAAAAACAACTGGCTGTGAAGTTTCTGCCGTTATTTCACACTGCCCTTCTTGCAGCTTCTGTGCTCACTCTGTGAAATAAAGAATAAACTAATGTAGTGTCTGGAGAGACGTCCTTTATGAAGGCTGCGCTCCTCAAGCAAAATGGTCTGGGGGCGTGGCCTGGCGGCTCCATCGCTTCCTCATCAGCGGCATGCCTGGCTCGGGGGAGCGTTTCCTAAGGCGACGGATGAGTCATTTGCAACGTTAGGATGACTTGCTATATTTTTCTCTTCAATAAAAACCTATATGAGAGTTGGCCGGGATTTCAGTACTTTTTGCCAATCTAACAATATACTTGGAACAAAGCAGGAAATAAGATTTGCTGTGGCTAAGCCTGAAACTTCAGTTTTAAAGGAATATGTTGATTTTAACCTTTCTTGCCCAGAAATTGGTTTTCTTATGCTGATGTACTGTCTTTTTTTTTTTTTTTTTTTTTTTTTTTTAGTCTCGTACTTTTAAAACCGAATGAAAAGTTTTTATTTTTCTCCTGCAATTAGTTCCCTGGAAACTTCTTTCAGTTCAATTTATTGATATAATTTTTCCATGCAACGGTCCCTTTTGAGTAATTTCTGCCATATGGTTTTGGTCATACTATCAAATCCTCTAAATAAATATATTCAAAAATCTGGAAAAGATCTGTTTGCCCACTGGTCATAACTGATTTCATATATATACTTCAGATACATATATCTTCAATAGAAAAGGTTAAGCATATTAGTGGTAAGGAAAAAATTAACATCTTCACAGACTAAAATCTAATACTTGAAGACGTTATGAGCGCTGCCTTCCTCCACATAACTCTGAGTTACGTTAAGCTTAATTTCCAACAAATGGGTCAGCACACACTTGTTTGTACTTAATCACATACATACTTTGCACAACCGGCATTAATTAGCAGACTCTGACGTGTGCACATACTTCAACAGCCATACTGAATGCATGTACGTTCCTTGGGCCTTGAGCCCACAAACCTGAAGAGCATTCACACACACACTCAAATGCAAATAGGCAGTCATTGAAAATTGGTCTGTAATCTTGTCATCTCCAATCTCTTCTCTGAAACTTGGTGATAAAATCCCTTTATCTCACAAAGATAGTAGGACTTTGCTGACCTTGGTAAAGAAGTTTAAAGATCAGAATCATTACGCAATAGTTAATAGTAATATTAGTGATGGGTAATGGCCTATTCTATCTTGGGGAAGGAATGCAGGAATTAATCTGTGTAGGTACACACACGTAAAAAAAGAAAATTAAGAGCACAGGTTTTCAACACTGGTCACAGTCTTCATAAAGGAGATTTTTTTCGTCAGTATATTATCAGAGCTATAGTCCTGCATGTACCTGAAGCAGCTGATGCCTTGTATTTTATTCCTATAACAAGTTTGAACAACCTCTGGAATGTTCACCTAAAACTGTATCTTCAATGAGATAAAAACTAGTTCTTAGACAACACAGGCATGTATACAAACATCTCTTAATTATTTTCAGGTAGATTTGTGCTAGAGGTGCCTAGCTTTAGCAACAACTCCAAAACCCAAAGGCAGCCATAACCTCTGGCAAAGACTTGAAAGAGTTAGTATGCAGGCTGCTGCTGCGAGGGGCCTCTCCCTTGGTTCGGGCAACCTGCCACAGGCAGGATGACAAAGCAGAAAGCGCTCTGTGTGTCACGTGCTTGCTCTCCATGAAATTCCACCCGCAATAACCCACAGCCCTGGTGAACCAATAGTTTCCAGAAATCGATCGGCAGATACCTGTTTGCAGAGCAAGACTGCTAAGGAGAACCTGAACCACAAAGCTGCTCTGGATAATCCTCAGAGACATGGCGGTGAGGACAACTCTCTCTTTTGCCCGCAAGCATCAGCGTTACTTAAACAAGTCTGTAGCAACTCGCAGCCACTGCAGGAAGATCCAGTGAGGCTCTTACACTGCATTGCCACCATCTTTGTGTTTTGTTAGTCCCAATCTAGAAGACAGTGGCTGTTGAGTGCTAACTGCCCTACAACCTGCCAAGTCCTCCTTGACATGGGGTGAACCCACCTAACAAATCACTACTGTCAAAAGGGGACAAGCCTACTCTCTTCCACCACTTTTTTTTTAAAATTCTTCTTGCTGTCTGCATACTTGGCACCAGCTCTGGCAGCCAACAGACCCTTATATGAGCTAAATCAGCCCACTAACCTAGGAGAAAACTAACCCAGGAGAAGAAAAGATGTGAACAGTTTCCCACCAGCCTAACAAGCTCAGCTAGCTCAGGGAAGGATCCTGTGAGCACCACAGCAGAAGGCATACCCTACAGACCCGCAGGGAGAAGGAGGAGGCAGCAACATTTTTCCCACTGGTAGCAGCAAAACTGCCAGATTTTCTCAGTAGCTTGTTAAACCAGACAAAAAAACCTCAACAAAAAAACCCAAACCAAACCAAAAAACCCAAAACATCACACCACCTTTTTTAGCTTTTACTTGAATCCTTTTCTGAAGTAGACTACACTAAGCCTCACTGCCACTTCTTGAGCAGAGGAAAAAAACATACAGTGAAATAACCACAGTATTTTTAATCCATATCCTTCCTTATTGGGAGTGAGCTTCCTCACAAACCAAAGTCCTCCCTCGTACTGAGGCCTCTGAACTTTTGACTGTCAGTTGTGTAACTTCTAGCAGGGGGTAAAAAAAGGCACGATTAGTTTCAGAAGGCCTTGACCAGGCATGAACATGACCAGCCCAACACAACAGCCCAGACCAGCTTTGTGAGCAGAACTGCTCCAGGATAAAAATCGTCTTACTCTGCAAAAGCGTCCACCCAGGGGTTCAGTGGGCTGCCGAGGCAGGACTTGGGGACCCATGGTAAACACCTGCCCTTCAAGTACTCGCCATGAAGGTCTGTAAGTGGTGCTTTAAGGCAAAGGTCTTTGCTGATTTACCTGGATTTTCTGTTTCACACAGGACATTATCAACAAGAATGATCTTCACATTTTTAACAAACAATGTCATTAAAAAATAGTTCTACTCTAGTAGTTCTGAAGATGCCTCTAATTTTATAAATGCTTATGAACAAGCATATAACTTGCTTTATAGCCTTATCTTCAGGCATCTGAGAAGTACAGGCTATTTCATATGACAATGAACATTTACCTTACACTCAAGTGAGCTTTTTAGGTGGAGAAAATGTCAGCTTTTCCTTCTCCTAGATTTGCTCATTTCTGTCATTTCAACACAGGTCACTACCTCTTCCCTTGTGTAAACCCAAACATTTGAAGTAAGTGTAACAGAGTCATTACATCATCCAGATTATGACAAGGAAAAAAACCCAAGCCTTTCAAATACACACCTCCAGCCTGGATCATGTCACAGATCCACACTGAGAGGCTGCCTTGCAATCAGCTGAACTGACAAAACTGTGAAGGAATGGAAACCTGGGGCAGGATGCAGGAAGCATGAGAACCTCAAACTGCCTTTGCCCTTACAGGAATCACCACGTACCCGCACATCCCTGAGGGCCAGCAGCAGTGGGTGGAAATTAAAAAATACTCAGAAATTGTACTCTGGTGTAAGTTAGACCTCCAATCGCCCTCACACGCTTTATTTTTTTACAGTGACAGAGACACGATGCAGCCTTACAGCTAATCAAGATAAGCCACAGAGCTGGCTATTGTAGATGATGTGTCAGGCTTGCTCAGATAAGGGCTGCATGGCTGTGCTCTAGTGATCTTGGTCAAGAACCACTGGTACATTTGACAGGATAAACTAGCCCAGCCCTGTGGGTATTCTCTTTCTTTCCAAGTGCTGATTCAGCATTTGGTTGCCCTGTCAGAGGAAGGATAAAGATAGATTAGAGGTACATTTGCCTCCTCATCTGAACTCAGCCTAAGTCTGAACCCATAAAAAGTCGGTAACGTGAAGACCAACTCAACATCATTTACACACACAGAACTCAGTGCTCACTGACAAGCGCTGTTCATCAAGAGTGAACCACTGATGTCCCATGAATGCTACTTCTGAAGGCTGGTAAGCCTTGAATCCTGCTGTGAGCTTTGAATCCTGCTGTCTACACACAGGGCCAAGATGTATGTTACACTCAATTACAAGCACCTCTAGCTTTCTCTCTGAAATTAGCTACTTGTCCTTAACTATGTGTAAAGCAGCATGTGGGATCACTTGCACAGAAACTATAAAGCTAGAAGAAAACCTTTACTTTCCCCCTTAAGAGTCAAATATTAATAAAACAAAACCCAGAAGGTGAAGAACCCTACCTCAGAGCATCTTTTGCACCTACTTATATAAGCAGAAGCTTGCAACAGTTTATACACTCTGTATGTTCAAAATTTTAGCCTGCAAAGAAAAAGTTCCATAGTCAGTGGAACAAATGAAAAGACTTCACCAATAACACAAAACCATGCATATTTCCCAGGGCTAAAGGCTTTTTTTCTTAAAGAATCTCACTGTCTGGATATGCAAGCACTGAGGAAGAAGAAGCTATGTACTTAGTCCTTAAGACTGCTTGCTCTCCTGTTTGGTGCAATTGAAGTGAAAAACAAAGAACTTCTGAGCTTTGAATAGCTCCTTCACCTGCAGAGTGCACAAACATTAACAGATGAGACTGAACAGTGAAATAACTTTCATCCTTTTCTCCCTAGATCACTGGTCTGTTTTATTATCTGCTGTCTTTCCACACTTTCAGTCCTCATGTAGCACAAAGCAAGCACTGTATGCATAAGCCCAGAAAATAGCCTTGATGCTCCTCTGGTTCTGCCAGTGACTTCCCTGACATATTGCTGAAATGTCCAAAAGGTGTTTAAATCTTTGAAATGATTGTGATAGGAAGCATCCTATCAGAAAGTAGATGCACAGGTTTTTTGGCTTTATGCTCTCTCCATGTCTGACCAAGAAGCCCATAAAACCATTGGTGAGAATTACTTAATTAAGTTATTGCATTTTTCTTGGAAATTCCTGACTACTGATATAAATGAGAGCAGACCCAAACCAGCTTTAACTTCACTAAGAGACTGGTTAGGTAATTTGGCTCACTGATGTCCTTGTCTACACTCATTTCCCAAGCCCCACTGAATGCATGAACAAATGTGTACAGGGTGTTCC